TGCCATCATTACTGCTTTTAGCATTAAATAAGGTTTTAGTTGACAAAACAGGACTCATAAATGTAGCAGTTGAAAAAATAAATTATTCATGGATACAAGTGCAAATTCTGTGTGTAACGGATGATAAATAAACTCGAAGATATTTTTTAAGTCCGTTTTTTTTTTTATTTTTTTTTTTTTATTTATTTTGTATTTTTTTATAAATATGAGTATTGGTACAACTTAACTTTTTAATTAGGCATTTGAGACGAAGACAAATAGGTATACATTTGTTTTGTTTTCATTTTTATATTCTTTTAATTTAATATCTCATATTTTAATATTTTTATTCTTTTTTAATATCATAATTTATTATATTTTTTAAGTAAAAATATTTAACTCTTTTGAGAACATAATTCTTTATTTACTAGATAAAAATTATCCNGATCTATGGAGAAGAAGTTCTTGGTGGTTACGGCGATTCTGGCTTTTCTGGATTTGCAAGTGAACGTGGCGCGATGTAGGCTGATGCGATTCTGGGTTGTGCGACGGTGGTGAAGGAGAAGACTCGCGATTTTAGGGAGAGTGGCGCTTTGTTTTTTTTTTTGCGTTTTCTGGATTTTGGGAATTACATGTGAAAGAAGGAGATCGCGCAAAGAGATTCACGGTGGTGCTCTGGATGTTGTTTGGGTTTTTCGGGGGTGGGTTTATATTGGGAATATCAGCAAAGTCTAAGTCTATTAGATTCTTCTCAGATATCAATCTCCTTTCTTCTTCTGGCAATAAGATTCTTCAACCGCGTGTTCCTTTCCAGCTCTAAATTTCCCAGATCCATGAGGTTCTTTTGGTCATCCTTTGTCCTTTTAATGACATATTTACTTTCATCTTCTTTGCCACCTGTAGCTTCTTCTTCCTCTTCTATGAACCCTAAATCCCATTTCAGAAATTCATATTATTGAAATTTAAAAAGTTGTTAAATTCCACGTATTCAACTCTCAGTATGCCACGTTTTAAAAATTTGACACATCAATCTTCCATCTGTGCAAAAACTTAACCCTGTTAACTAAATTTAACGGTAGGGGCTCAATCGATTCAAATTAGCACTTATAAGGACTCAATTGGGGATTATATAATAAGAAGGGAATTCTAATAAGAAGGGGATCAAACTGGGAAAAAACCACATAAATAGGGACAACTAAAAGGTTTAAACCAAGCTTTAAAGTTTTTTTCTTGAACGAAAAGTAATCTTTGAAGTTAAGCAAGAAGCAAATAACTCACTCAATAATTCTAGTTTGACCAATTTTGAAGATTATATATATATATATATATTAGGTGGATTGTAACATCCCAATTTAGTAATATGAAACTACTAAAATAAACATTGCATAGAAAATGATACAACAAACTATAGATTTGCGAAGAATAAAATTCTTCACTTGAAGGACCAAAAACACAACCTACACTTCAAACTTCTCATCTAACTTCCCGTTTAGCCAACTGAAAAAATTGCATCCCTAAGCTCACATCATTAAGGTGATCATCGCAAAAGAGGAAACAATACACAGGCAGACAAACACAAAAGCAAGGGTGGGCTAGATATACAAAGATCATACTATTACAATAACACACAACATTCATGTTTAATTTAAGTAAACTGGATCACACATCATAACATGTTATACTTTAAACTTGACTCGTCCGGACTTAGAATAATTGCCGAGCTATGGCGGGTCGTGCACTCGTGGTGGCTTGTACGGCTTTGTAAAGCCATTGCCAATGAGTTTCACCCTACCACACTCACGAGGTTAGTCTGTACCGCGCCTTGGAGTATACTGGAAGCCTCCAAGACTAAGACCTCCTGCTACTCCTCATGACATGGATCAATCCTCTCTACGTGAGAAGAAAGACCATTGGAGTTTCATGATAACCCCCAAGACTGAGCTCCTACATTCATTCTAAACATACTTGAATCTCAACAAGAGAATTCACTGTGGATCAAAACATAAGGCACCATCATGTAACCTCCCTGTGAGGTTCATGGAATTACGTCCATAACATAGGGCACCACCATGTAACCTCCCTTTGAGATCCATGGAATTACGTCCATAACATAGGGCACCACCATGTAACCTCCCTTTGAGATCCATGGAATTACGTCCATCAACCATACTGTCACTTTGAAACTTAACTCAAGACATGAACAACCAAGTACCATAATACTATCACATTGAATCCAAACATATAACCTCACTGATCATACACTATCATAGATACTTCTACATCATTCTAATAATCAAAACATAGTTCAAGGTTATCAGAAAACAGGAATAAAAAGAATAAAAACAGGTTCTGGGCAAGCTGCTCAGCACGCCAAACTCAATGTGCGAATAACAGAAACAATGGATTTTACTCACTCATATTCGCTTAGCGCACCAAGCCTGTGCGCTCAGCTAAAGTCCATTCGCTCAGCACACCAAGTATGNTATTCTTTTTTAATATCATAATTTATTATATTTTTTAAGTAAAAATATTTAACTCTTTTGAGAACATAATTCTTTATTTACTAGATAAAAATTATCCTTTTTATTATTTTATTTTAATTTTCGTTTCATTTAAGAATTATCTCTGTTTTATCAAAATAATTTTCATTATTTTTAGTTTAATATTTGTAATTTTTTTAAATTGTTAAAATTTTTTGTTTTTATCATATTTTTAATTATACAACTGTTTTTTTTACGTGATTTTATTCTGTCAATTTGATCTCAAGACACACTTTTTTAATATTTTTATTTGTTTTTCATTTTTAGCTTGTAAAATATTGTTCTAATACTTTTTATTATATGAATAAGCAGAAAGAAAGAACAAGTTGAACAAATCATCAAAGAAAAAGCTAAACAAGAAAGAGAAAAAGTTGGACAGCAGAAGAAAGAAGAGAAAAAATACGATCACATCAATAGACCTTATTCATACACTTTTCATAACATAGGGACCAAATGTCTTTATTTTTAAAACGGATATTAAACAGGAATTCACCTCTTAATATGAGGACGAAGTAAACATTTAAGCCTAATATAATAAATTTAATGTGATTGTCATAAATATTGTTTATAATCCTTCTTCATGTAATAAAGTTCAAAAAAAGAAAATTATTTTAAATTTTAAATATTATTAGTTTAACTTTTTTTGTGATTTCATTATAACAGTATATTATAATTTATATTAGTATATAAAAATAGAAATTTTATTAAAATTTAAAAAATGAGAGTAAAAAAATATTTAGAATATTTTTAAATTTAAATATTTATTTTCTATTTTGTAACCTTTTAAAAATATTTTTAAATTTTATCAGTTTTAGTGTTTGTAAATTTAATGAATGTCTGATAAAATATTTATTTGATATTGAAAAAAAATGAGAATATATTATTTTAATATTGGATATTCGTTAATATTATGCTTTTATTTTTTACAATTTTTTAAATATTTTATATAAATTAATTAATTAATACATATACAATAAGAAAGTTGTCAGGGGTATAGATACATGTTTATATCCCTTATTAAGTTGAGATGAAAATAAGATAGAACATATATATATATATATATATATATATATATATATATACACACTTGAGTATTGTGATGAGAATGGAATTTTTCTTTAAAAATGAGAATGAGTATGACAGGGCAATGTAATAACAAAATTAAAATTAAAATGAAGTGAAATAAATCATAAATATTTGTAAAATTAACAATTTTTTGGATTCATAGCAAAACAAAGTAAGTGAAAAAAAGGAGTGTAATAGCAAAATTCAAATTCAAATGAAGTGAAATAAATCATAAATATTTGTAAAATTAGGAATTTTTTGGATTTATATCAAAACAAAGAGGTATGTCTGAATTTTTATTTGGACCCAAGAGTGAAAAGGAGGGTGTAAATAAAAAAGATTGAAATACAAAAACTAAAGAAAAGTGAATAAAAGGTGACATTTTACTAATTTTCTTTATTTTTTAATGTAAAATCTTTTATTCCCTTAATTTTAATGTAACTTAGAAACGTAAAAAAAAAGTAATGTTGAATTAAAAAAGTTATATTCATTTATTTTAAAAGGGTTAAATATGTTTTTAGTCCCTAAACTATTGGCCGTTTCTGGTTTTCGTCCCTCTTCCAAAGTAAGGTACAATTTGGTCCTCTTTCTTTAGAAAAACGTTCGTTTTAGTTCTCAAAATTTTGTTTTTAGTCCTCGTTTTAGTCCTCAAAACGTTCGTTTTTTCATAATTTCTCGTAGATACATATTTAATCATATTTTTTAATAAGTGAAGACAATTAATAAAAAAATATACTATTAAAATTTAATTAAAAAATATAAAAAAATTCAAATACCTAATAAATAAAAAATTAATAAAAATTTAACTGAAAAAATAAAATTTAAAAAATACAAAAGTCTCAATCAAATCTAATTCAAACAAAAGCTAAATTAAGTGACATAAACCATAATAATTGAATTGTAGCGAAACTTAAATGAAGTGAGAAAAAGTTATTACGAGTGCAAAGTTAAGAATATAATTAAGTTTACATTTCTCTATGCTTTGTTTGGATAGGTGGAACAATCTCTGTTGATTTTTGTTCTCATAATAAATAATAAAAATGATGATAGCATATCACTGTAACACTATCTTACTTTCTCTCCACCCAAAAACAAAAATCTCTCTTTTCACTTCCAAAGAATGAATACACAGCAGTTATATCGGAGAACAAATGTCACGTCCAAACACATCACAACATGCACACTATTCAACTGCAACTTCACAATCCTCATACACACCTTTTCAAACTTCAACCAATCTGATGGTCAACACTGCATGTGCATCATAACTCCCATGCAATGTGCACCACTGCTTTTCACCCCTTTCTTTATTTATTCTCTCAATATTTGTAATTATAATCACTAATTATGTTGCTTAAGTAAAGGATAAGCTACATTAACACCCTTTGTGCTTGGCCAAATTTGGCTTAAAATTTCTCCGATTTTTACACCTGTGTTTTAAATTACTGTTTATTGTTTTATGTTTCCTTTTTAGTTTCTGACCTGTCTGTTTTCCTGCACCTTTTGTCACTTCCACCACCACTTAGTAGAGAGAAAAGAAAAACGCACAAAACCAGACACAAACACTGCTGTTACAGAATCTAGTAAACTAGTTTTCAGAACAACATAAAAACAATAACCATAGCAAGGAGTTTGGTTGAATCAGTTACCATTTTCATCTGAACATGGTTTGTTCAGTGCATCTGCTTCCACTTCTCTTCCTCCTCCTCCTGGCTTTGCTCTTGAATCCAACATGTGTCTGTGGCAATGACGAGCTTAGAGCTCTGATGGACCTGAAATCCAGTTTGGATCCAGAGGGGCGATTTCTGTCCTCATGGACCATGGATGGCAACCCCTGTGGTGGTTACTTTGAGGGAGTCGCTTGCAATGAGAAGGGTCAGGTGGCAAATGTTTCTTTGCAGGGGAAAGGCCTTTCTGGGAGGCTTTCACCGGCCATTGGTGGACTTAAGCACTTGACAGGACTCTACTTGCATTACAATTCTTTGTATGGGGAGATTCCAAGGGAAGTTGCAAACTTGACTGAGCTCAGTGACTTGTACCTGAATGTCAATCATCTTTCTGGTGAAATCCGACCTGAGATTGGCAAGATGGAGAAGCTTCAAGGTATAATGATGCCATTTTTGGTTTAAAAATTGAAACTTTCAGTATTTCCCACCTTGATTTGGCTTCTTGTGGTCCTTTGTCAAAGGTTTTTTGTTGGGTTTTTTGAATGTTGTGTGATTGCGGGTTTTACCGAAAGATTCGAGCTTTGTTTTGTTTATTTGCTGTGTCATTGAGTTTCTTTTTCTGTGATTGGTATTTTTATCCTTTTTTCTCCTTCCAATGGTTGGTTCTCTTGCACCGTGATGTTCCAAAATAGTTAATTCACGTGATAACGAAAAAGAATGGTAGCTTGGAATGTTTTTGGACCAGAAGGATGTTTTTGCAACTATTGAGATTATTTTGAACAACCTGGTGTTAACTGCAAGAGGTAGGTATGAACTAGAAAATTAAAGGGTAACAGTATTTTTAACCTCTTGTCCCGTTTCTGAGATCTATTTAATATTTTTTTTTCTGCATAAATGAAGGATTTATGTAACGCTACAATTCATTCAAAATTCTAGCATCGAAAATTGTTCATACAAAAAAGTTCCAAACGCATATCAGTGTCTGTTCCCTAGAACTGAATTCTTACTGTTTGCTTTGGCTTTTTTCGTTGAAATCGTGTTTGATTAATGGTTTAATTTTGGGAGTGTGCTTATTTGTTCTTTTCACATGTTTTTGCAGTTTTACAGCTCTGTTATAATCAGTTAACAGGAAGCATACCTACACAGCTTGGCGATTTGAAAAAGCTCAGTGTTCTTGCTCTTCAGTCAAACCAGTTGGCTGGAGCTATCCCTGCTACCCTAGGAGATTTGGAAATATTGACGAGGCTAGATTTGAGTTCTAATAATCTCTTTGGTTCCATTCCCACTAAACTAGCCAATCTTCCTTCACTGCAAGTTCTGGATGTTCACAACAACACTCTCTCTGGGAATGTACCTACCGGTATAATGATGCTATTTTATTGGTTCTGTTCTGTTCATTTCTTTATCAATATTTTTATGTAACATAAGTTTAATCTGCTTTCCTTTGTTTGATGAAGCTTTGAAGAGACTAGAGAATGGATTTGTGTATGAAAACAATGTGGGGTTATGTGGAGTTGGGTTTTCATCCTTGAAAGCTTGCACTGCTTCAAATAATGTTAATCTCACTCGACCTGAACCTTATGGAGCAGGAGTTGGAAGTATCTCTAGAGATATCCCAGAAACTGCTAATGTAAAGTTGCCTTGCAATACAACTCATTGCCAAAATCCATCTAAATCCAAACAAGCCACATCTATCACAGTTGGCATTGTTCTAGTAACAATTGCAGTATCAGCAATTGGTGTTTTGACCTTCACCGTGTATAGGCGGCGGAAACAAAAGCTTGGAAGTGCCTTTGATACTTCTGAAGGCCGACTAAGTACAGATCAAGCCAAGACTATATACAGGAAAAATGGATCTCCTTTGGTTAGCCTTGAGTATTCTAATGGGTGGGACCCTTTGGCTGATAGCAGGAATTTCAACGGGGATAAGCAAGATTTGTTCCAGAGTTTCAGGTTCAACTTGGAAGAAGTGGAGTCAGCTACTCAGTATTTCTCAGAGTTGAATCTGTTGGGGAAGAGCAACTTTAGTGCTACATATAAAGGGGTTTTGAGAGATGGATCTGCTGTTGCTATCAAGAGCATCAGTAAAACTAGTTGCAAATCAGATGAAGCTGAGTTTTTGAAGGGATTGAACATTTTGACCTCGCTGAGAAATGAACATTTAGTGAGGTTGAGAGGATTTTGTTGTTCAAGGGGACGAGGAGAATGCTTTCTGGTCTATGATTTTGTTCCTAATGGAAACCTTACACGCTACCTTGATGTGAAGGAAGGTGATGGAGAAGTTCTTGAATGGTCAACTAGAATTTCTATTGTGAAAGGAATTGCTAAAGGTCACTCTTCTACCACACCTTTTATTAAAATACTTTGATTCTTCAAAATCAGCATCTTTTAAATATTCCAAGATATAAAGTATACATACACGACCAACAGCATGCTATTGCTATGTTTGGTGAATAACTGAGAGCATTTCTTTTCTTGCTACTACTATTCATAGATGCTTCAAGAGATGCTAAGCTAACACCATCATATTACATTACATTACATATTATATGCTTTAAATAAACACATGCTCAGTTGCAAAACTATAGCCTAATTGTAGACTAAATTTCCTTTAACATTATTGTGATCCATTTGCATTCATTCATTTTGATGAAGTGATCATTTAATTACTTAACACAAGAAGTGACATATTCTCATGGTTTCCAATCTTCATGTGTATACTGAACAGAAACCTTGTTTTCTTAACCAGGTATAGCATATTTACATGCACACAAATCAAACAAACCAGCCCTTGTTCACCAAAACATCTCAGCTGAGAAAGTGCTACTCGATCGGCGGTACAACCCGATGCTTTCAGATTCCGGCCTGTACAAGCTTCTCACCAATGACATTGTCTTCTCTGCACTAAAGGGTAGTGCAGCAAAGGGATACTTGGCTCCAGAATACACCACAACCGGCCGGTTCACGGAGAAAAGTGATGTTTATGCATTTGGAGTGCTTCTTTTCCAGATTATCACAGGGAAACAGAAGATCACAAGTGCAATGCGCCTTGCGGCAGAGTCCTTTACATTCCAAGAATTTATTGACCCGAATTTGCGTGGCAAGTTCTTTGAATATGAGGCAGCTAAACTAGCCAAAATGGCTTTACTTTGCTCCCATGAATCTCAGTTTGAGAGGCCAAGCATGGAAGCCATTGTTCAAGAACTGGGGAATTGTAGTAGCTGTCTTTGATTTGAGTTTTACTTGAATTAGTTTAACCATCAACACCACATCAGTTTTCTAGTGTTTGGCCACTTGTTCATGGTCATGGTAATGGTGATGGTGACCCTTTAAGGCGTGACATGTTTCTGTGTCCTTAACATAGGACTAGCTTTTCTGTGAATGCCTTGGACTTTGGTTGTAGTCTAGGTAAGTGATTTATATCACTATTTCTATTCATTTCAGCCATATATTCTCTCTAATAGTCTGCAATTGTGGTTTTTCCTTTTCTTTTGGGTTTTGTGGTTAATGCCCTTTTGTTTTAATCACCTTTTTCCAACCAACCATGGACAAAAAGCAAAAGCAATATAGAAATGAACTGTCATGAATGCAATGCATCAAATTCCCTAGTGCTACAACACTTTATTGCTGCTATTAGCACTTTGTAAAGCATCCATTCCTTTTTTGGATTATGGAATGCTGATTTGAGATTATTACTTTGTGGCTTCTTTTAGTGTTGCTTTTGAGTGCCAGGCTTATCAATTTCTTTTCCCTAGTGTAGTGTAGGGAGAAAAATCTTAAACCTATAAGTAATATGCTTTTGTAAAAATGATAAAAAGAAAGTAATTTTTACAAGAAACAGCTGCAGTAGCTTATTAAACAAATAAGCTGTTTTCAGCTTATTTCTGATAGAAGTTTGAACAAACGTATAAAAAGAACTATAAAAACTGTTTTTTCCATTAGAAAATGTGATGTTCTAAAATTAAGATACTCAAACAAATCTTTCCATAAATAGGATTTGAGCCTAGCATACCCTTGTGCTATTTTATTTATGTTTATAAAAAGGAAAATGATACTTGAACAACCATTTTTGACAACANATATATATATATACACACTTGAGTATTGTGATGAGAATGGAATTTTTCTTTAAAAATGAGAATGAGTATGACAGGGCAATGTAATAACAAAATTAAAATTAAAATGAAGTGAAATAAATCATAAATATTTGTAAAATTAACAATTTTTTGGATTCATAGCAAAACAAAGTAAGTGAAAAAAAGGAGTGTAATAGCAAAATTCAAATTCAAATGAAGTGAAATAAATCATAAATATTTGTAAAATTAGGAATTTTTTGGATTTATATCAAAACAAAGAGGTATGTCTGAATTTTTATTTGGACCCAAGAGTGAAAAGGAGGGTGTAAATAAAAAAGATTGAAATACAAAAACTAAAGAAAAGTGAATAAAAGGTGACATTTTACTAATTTTCTTTATTTTTTAATGTAAAATCTTTTATTCCCTTAATTTTAATGTAACTTAGAAACGTAAAAAAAAAGTAATGTTGAATTAAAAAAGTTATATTCATTTATTTTAAAAGGGTTAAATATGTTTTTAGTCCCTAAACTATTGGCCGTTTCTGGTTTTCGTCCCTCTTCCAAAGTAAGGTACAATTTGGTCCTCTTTCTTTAGAAAAACGTTCGTTTTAGTTCTCAAAATTTTGTTTTTAGTCCTCGTTTTAGTCCTCAAAACGTTCGTTTTTTCATAATTTCTCGTAGATACATATTTAATCATATTTTTTAATAAGTGAAGACAATTAATAAAAAAATATACTATTAAAATTTAATTAAAAAATATAAAAAAATTCAAATACCTAATAAATAAAAAATTAATAAAAATTTAACTGAAAAAATAAAATTTAAAAAATACAAAAGTCTCAATCAAATCTAATTCAAACAAAAGCTAAATTAAGTGACATAAACCATAATAATTGAATTGTAGCGAAACTTAAATGAAGTGAGAAAAAGTTATTACGAGTGCAAAGTTAAGAATATAATTAAGTTTACATTTCTCTATGCTTTGTTTGGATAGGTGGAACAATCTCTGTTGATTTTTGTTCTCATAATAAATAATAAAAATGATGATAGCATATCACTGTAACACTATCTTACTTTCTCTCCACCCAAAAACAAAAATCTCTCTTTTCACTTCCAAAGAATGAATACACAGCAGTTATATCGGAGAACAAATGTCACGTCCAAACACATCACAACATGCACACTATTCAACTGCAACTTCACAATCCTCATACACACCTTTTCAAACTTCAACCAATCTGATGGTCAACACTGCATGTGCATCATAACTCCCATGCAATGTGCACCACTGCTTTTCACCCCTTTCTTTATTTATTCTCTCAATATTTGTAATTATAATCACTAATTATGTTGCTTAAGTAAAGGATAAGCTACATTAACACCCTTTGTGCTTGGCCAAATTTGGCTTAAAATTTCTTCGATTTTTACACCTGTGTTTTAAATTACTGTTTATTGTTTTATTTTTCCTTTTTAGTTTCTGACCTGTCTGTTTTCCTGCACCTTTTGTCACTTCCACCACCACTTAGTAGAGAGAAAAGAAAAACGCACAAAACCAGACACAAACACTGCTGTTACAGAATCTAGTAAATTAGTTTTCAGAACAACATAAAAACAATAACTATAGCAAGGAGTTTGGTTGAATCAGTTACCATTTTCATCTGATCATGGTTTGTTCAGTGCATCTGCTTCCACTTCTCTTCCTCCTCCTCCTGGCTTTGCTCTTGAATCCAACATGTGTCTGTGGCAATGACGAGCTTAGAGCTCTGATGGACCTGAAATCCAGTTTGGATCCAGAGGGGCGATTTCTGTCCTCATGGACCATGGATGGCAACCCCTGTGGTGGTTACTTTGAGGGAGTCGCTTGCAATGAGAAGGGTCAGGTGGCAAATGTTTCTTTGCAGGGGAAAGGCCTTTCTGGGAGGCTTTCACCGGCCATTGGTGGACTTAAGCACTTGACAGGACTCTACTTGCATTACAATTCTTTGTATGGGGAGATTCCAAGGGAAGTTGCAAACTTGACTGAGCTCAGTGACTTGTACCTGAATGTCAATCATCTTTCTGGTGAAATCCGACCTGAGATTGGCAAGATGGAGAAGCTTCAAGGTATAATGATGCCATTTTTGGTTTAAAAATTGAAACTTTCAGTATTTCCCACCTTGATTTGGCTTCTTGTGGTCCTTTGTCAAAGGTTTTTTGTTGGGTTTTTTGAATGTTGTGTGATTGCGGGTTTTACCGAAAGATTCGAGCTTTGTTTTGTTTATTTGCTGTGTCATTGAGTTTCTTTTTCTGTGATTGGTATTTTTATCCTTTTTTCTCCTTCCAATGGTTGGTTCTCTTGCACCGTGATGTTCCAAAATAGTTAATTCACGTGATAACGAAAAAGAATGGTAGCTTGGAATGTTTTTGGACCAGAAGGATGTTTTTGCAACTATTGAGATTATTTTGAACAACCTGGTGTTAACTGCAAGAGGTAGGTATGAACTAGAAAATTAAAGGGTAACAGTATTTTTAACCTCTTGTCCCGTTTCTGAGATCTATTTAATATTTTTTTTTCTGCATAAATGAAGGATTTATGTAATGCTACAATTCATTCAAAATTCTAGCATCGAAAATTGTTCATACAAAAAAGTTCCAAACGCATATCAGTGTCTGTTCCCTAGAACTGAATTCTTACTGTTTGCTTTGGCTTTTTTCGTTGAAATCGTGTTTGATTAATGGTTTAATTTTGGGAGTGTGCTTATTTGTTCTTTTCACATGTTTTTGCAGTTTTTCAGCTCTGTTATAATCAGTTAACAGGAAGCATACCTACACAGCTTGGCGATTTGAAAAAGCTCAGTGTTCTTGCTCTTCAGTCAAACCAGTTGGCTGGAGCTATCCCTGCTACCCTAGGAGATTTGGAAATATTGACGAGGCTAGATTTGAGTTCTAATAATCTCTTTGGTTCCATTCCCACTAAACTAGCCAATCTTCCTTCACTGCAAGTTCTGGATGTTCACAACAACACTCTCTCTGGGAATGTACCTACCGGTATAATGATGCTATTTTATTGGTTCTGTTCTGTTCATTTCTTTATCAATATTTTTATGTAACATAAGTTTAATCTGCTTTCCTTTGTTTGATGAAGCTTTGAAGAGACTAGAGAATGGATTTGTGTATGAAAACAATGTGGGGTTATGTGGAGTTGGGTTTTCATCCTTGAAAGCTTGCACTGCTTCAAATAATGTTAATCTCACTCGACCTGAACCTTATGGAGCAGGAGTTGGAAGTATCTCTAGAGATATCCCAGAAACTGCTAATGTAAAGTTGCCTTGCAATACAACTCATTGCCAAAATCCATCTAAATCCAAACAAGCCACATCTATCACAGTTGGCATTGTTCTAGTAACAATTGCAGTATCAGCAATTGGTGTTTTGACCTTCACCGTGTATAGGCGGCGGAAACAAAAGCTTGGAAGTGCCTTTGATACTTCTGAAGGCCGACTAAGTACAGATCAAGCCAAGACTATATACAGGAAAAATGGATCTCCTTTGGTTAGCCTTGAGTATTCTAATGGGTGGGACCCTTTGGCTGATAGCAGGAATTTCAACGGGGATAAGCAAGATTTGTTCCAGAGTTTCAGGTTCAACTTGGAAGAAGTGGAGTCAGCTACTCAGTATTTCTCAGAGTTGAATCTGTTGGGGAAGAGCAACTTTAGTGCTACATATAAAGGGGTTTTGAGAGATGGATCTGCTGTTGCTATCAAGAGCATCAGTAAAACTAGTTGCAAATCAGATGAAGCTGAGTTTTTGAAGGGATTGAACATTTTGACCTCGCTGAGAAATGAACATTTAGTGAGGTTGAGAGGATTTTGTTGTTCAAGGGGACGAGGAGAATGCTTTCTGGTCTATGATTTTGTTCCTAATGGAAACCTTACACGCTACCTTGATGTGAAGGAAGGTGATGGAGAAGTTCTTGAATGGTCAACTAGAATTTCTATTGTGAAAGGAATTGCTAAAGGTCACTCTTCTACCACACCTTTTATTAAAATACTTTGATTCTTCAAAATCAGCATCTTTTAAATATTCCAAGATATAAAGTATACATACACGACCAACAGCATGCTATTGCTATGTTTGGTGAATAACTGAGAGCATTTCTTTTCTTGCTACTACTATTCATAGATGCTTCAAGAGATGCTAAGCTAACACCATCATATTACATTACATTACATATTATATGCTTTAAATAAACACATGCTCAGTTGCAAAACTATAGCCTAATTGTAGACTAAATTTCCTTTAACATTATTGTGATCCATTTGCATTCATTCATTTTGATGAAGTGATCATTTAATTACTTAACACAAGAAGTGACATATTCTCATGGTTTCCAATCTTCATGTGTATACTGAACAGAAACCTTGTTTTCTTAACCAGGTATAGCATATTTACATGCACACAAATCAAACAAACCAGCCCTTGTTCACCAAAACATCTCAGCTGAGAAAGTGCTACTCGATCGGCGGTACAACCCGATGCTTTCAGATTCCGGCCTGTACAAGCTTCTCACCAATGACATTGTCTTCTCTGCACTAAAGGGTAGTGCAGCAAAGGGATACTTGGCTCCAGAATACACCACAACCGGCCGGTTCACGGAGAAAAGTGATGTTTATGCATTTGGAGTGCTTCTTTTCCAGATTATCACAGGGAAACAGAAGATCACAAGTGCAATGCGCCTTGCGGCAGAGTCCTTTACATTCCAAGAATTTATTGACCCGAATTTGCGTGGCAAGTTCTTTGAATATGAGGCAGCTAAACTAGCCAAAATGGCTTTACTTTGCTCCCATGAATCTCAGTTTGAGAGGCCAAGCATGGAAGCCATTGTTCAAGAACTGGGGAATTGTAGTAGCTGTCTTTGATTTGAGTTTTACTTGAATTAGTTTAACCATCAACACCACATCAGTTTTCTAGTGTTTGGCCACTTGTTCATGGTCATGGTAATGGTGATGGTGACCCTTTAAGGCGTGACATGTTTCTGTGTCCTTAACATAGGACTAGCTTTTCTGTGAATGCCTTGGACTTTGGTTGTAGTCTAGGTAAGTGATTTATATCACTATTTCTATTCATTTCAGCCATATATTCTCTCTAATAGTCTGCAATTGTGGTTTTTCCTTTTCTTTTGGGTTTTGTGGTTAATGCCCTTTTGTTTTAATCACCTTTTTCCAACCAACCATGGACAAAAAGCAAAAGCAATATAGAAATGAACTGTCATGAATGCAATGCATCAAATTCCCTAGTGCTACAACACTTTATTGCTGCTATTAGCACTTTGTAAAGCATCCATTCCTTTTTTGGATTATGGAATGCTGATTTGAGATTATTACTTTGTGGCTTCTTTTAGTGTTGCTTTTGAGTGCCAGGCTTATCAATTTCTTTTCCCTAGTGTAGTGTAGGGAGAAAAATCTTAAACCTATAAGTAATATGCTTTTGTAAAAATGATAAAAAGAAAGTAATTTTTACAAGAAACAGCTGCAGTAGCTTATTAAACAAATAAGCTGTTTTCAGCTTATTTCTGATAGAAGTTTGAACAAACGTATAAAAAGAACTATAAAAACTGTTTTTTCCATTAGAAAATGTGATGTTCTAAAATTAAGATACTCAAACAAATCTTTCCATAAATAGGATTTGAGCCTAGCATACCCTTGTGCTATTTTATTTATGTTTATAAAAAGGAAAATGATACTTGAACAACCATTTTTGACAACATTTAGACACGCGCACACGTGTCAAAATCTGAGTGGTCCATTTTCATTTAATTTTTCCAACTTGACCACTTAGATTTTGACACGTGTGCGCGTGTCTAAATGTTATCAAAAATGGTTGTTCAAGTGTCATTTTTCTTATAAAAAAGACTCAATTTGGTGTTAAGTTAAAGCAGATCTGTTCTTAAAAGTGGTGAATCTCTTCAATTAATGAAGTCACTGGTTGTGTTAATTAAGAGCCTACCAGAGAACATTGAGGGCCATTGATAGGTGTTGGATCCAACTGACAGAACATGTTGTGAAGGGTTATAATTGCATGTTTCTTTTTGGTACATATGAAACTGTAATAATTGATTTCCGAGACCCCATGTAGGTAAAAGCATGTCTTGGTGAATTGTTGAATTGATGATTTACTGGAATGAAGTCTTCTCATTCACTTCTGATTCCCTATGTACATTGGTTGATGAACAGTTTCTTTTTTCTTTTTAATTGGTGTAGGCTTGTCTTATGACTATGAACTGTTATTTTCTCATTTCTTCTAGATAAAACCTTAGCTATCATTGAATGAATAGTAAGTAAAATGCAAGTGTCATTCATTGGTGGTGTTTTGACATGAGATTGATCTTGTTAATAATTTTGGAAACCATGTAGACTTATTTAAATTGAGTGTATTTTTAATGTTTAACTTTTATACAAAGTTATTAGAGTTTGATCTTAAGGGATATTTATCTTTAAAAGATTCTTCAATGTTTAAATTAGTAAAAGATTTTATGATTTTTATGAATATAGTGAGTATGAATAATTATGAAATGAATATTTTTTGAAAATACGAGTTATATTTATATGATTAACATATATCATGAATTTATGGTTGATTAAAATAATATTTATCTTAAGTATATAATATTAGTGTAGTTGGTAATAATATTATAATATATAATAATCATAATACTAAACTGTCGAAATTGATTATAATATGTAGATATTATTTTAATACGTGTAAGTTTAGATTATTTTAAAGTGAGGAGGCTTAATTAAACTTTTTAGATCTTAATATATCTATTAAGCAGGTAAGTACAAAATCTATTTGAGTGTTGCTCCCTCCACCACCACCTAATACTCCCTGTACCTCCTCATGACAAATTTGCCCTTATTTACTGTACAATAAATTTTGGCCAACAACGTTAACCTACTTCATTAATTACAATGGTCCCACTTTTATAACAATGCACCCCCACAAAAGTTGCACACGGAAATCAGCTATGCCTCAGTTATCCCTTTCTTTTTTTTTCCTCTATTTCATTGTTCTGAGAGCGTGTAGTGCTCGTGTGAAGTGGTAGGCTTTACTTGGCTGGAGATTGCAAGTGGTGCAAGGAACCAGTGGTGGCAGAGGTCATTGTTTGTGGTAGTGGTTGCCGGAGGCAGCAAAGGAAAGTTTCGTCCCAGGTGCGCGAAGTTATTGTAATTCTTCAACGGATGTGATAATCCGTCGACTGATATCGACATCCGTTTCAGGGCCAAACGGATATGCGACATCCGTTCATGGCCTGCGTGGTTATTTCTTCTTCTGCAAACAAAAACAAAAACTACCACCAAACACAACAGCACGACAATAATCAACAAAAATTCATAAATCTATCTATGATTAAACAACAAACTAACCTCTCGTAGACCTGCACAAGAAGGAAGCACCAAATGACCACCGCACACCGCCGCACCTCCGCAATGCTGATGGACCACCGCACACACTGTCGCAACGTCGCACCACGAACAACCACTGCACCACCAACAAGAGAACGAGAGAAAGTGGGACTTAGGGGATTCGAAGAAACGGATGTGGGTTGGAAGCAAACGGATGTGGGTTGGAAGCAAACGGATCTGAGGGTGTGGGAAGGTGGGAAGAAGACGGATGTGGAATTTGGGGGCTGGAGAAAAAGTGAAAATANCGTTAACCTACTTCATTAATTACAATGGTCCCACTTTTATAACAATGCACCCCCACAAAAGTTGCACACGGAAATCAGCTATGCCTCAGTTATCCCTTTCTTTTTTTTTCCTCTATTTCATTGTTCTGAGAGCGTGTAGTGCTCGTGTGAAGTGGTAGGCTTTACTTGGCGGGAGATTGCAAGTGGTGCAAGGAACCAGTGGTGGCAGAGGTCATTGTTTGTGGTAGTGGTTGCCGGAGGCAGCAAAGGAAAGTTTCGTCCCAGGTGCGCGAAGTTATTGTAATTCTTCAACGGATGTGATAATCCGTCGACTGATATCGACATCCGTTTCAGGGCCAAACGGATATGCGACATCCGTTCATGGCCTGCGTGGTTATTTCTTCTTCTGCAAACAAAAACAAAAACTACCACCAAACACAACAGCACGACAATAATCAACAAAAATTCATAAATCTATCTATGATTAAACAACAAACTAACCTCTCGTAGACCTGCACAAGAAGGAAGCACCAAATGACCACCGCACACCGCCGCACCTCCGCAATGCTGATGGACCACCGCACACACTGTCGCAACGTCGCACCACGAACAACCACTGCACCACCAACAAGAGAACGAGAGAAAGTGGGACTTAGGGGATTCGAAGAAACGGATGTGGGTTGGAAGCAAACGGATGTGGGTTGGAAGCAAACGGATCTGAGGGTGTGGGAAGGTGGGAAGAAGACGGATGTGGAATTTGGGGGCTGGAGAAAAAGTGAAAATAATGGGTAAGGAATTAGGTTTTAGAAAGAGAAAAAAAAAAGTAAATAAATAAGGTAAAAAGGGTACTTTTGACATTAAAAAAAAATTTAAATTTTAGGAAGGTGCAGGAAGTATTCGATGGGGGTGGAGGGAGTAAAACCCAATCTATTTTCTATAAGTTGAAAGTTTACAAAATCTATTTTCTATAAGTTGAAAGTTGTCTGGACTTATTTTTAATCATCTTTAGTGCTTGTAAATAAAGAATGTGACATTTTCTAACCCTACCTCTATACTTTCTTCTCTCACCCATAACTATAATGCAATTACTAAAATATTTTATTTTTTATTTTTTAAATAAAAAACCTTACTTCTTTTAGAGTATTTTGAAGACTTTATGATTTACGTGTTCGAGATCGGTTTTGGAAAAACCTATCCTTATATATATTGTGTGCATTTGTTGTTTCCAGAGGTTTGTAATTATTGTTTCAATAATGATTTATGAATTGAATTATTCAAGATGACTTTTTCAAAATTAAATTTTGGATTAAATAATATAAAACTATATTTAAGATTTTAGATTTCACAGTTGAATTAAAATATATTTTAAACTACGTAATCTGAATCATATTTAAATTTCAGATGGTATAATTGATGTTACAGTTCTATATTATATAATCTAAAGTATAATTTTAAATTACATAATCTAAAATATATTTACAGATGATATAATTTAAACATTTAGAATTATATTTTAAATTATATAACCCGAAATCACGTTTTCAATTATATAATCTAGAACTACGTCATCAAAAACCATATTCTAGTAATTTGGAATAATAGTTTAAATTGATTATGAAGTATTTTTGATAATAGCAGACTAGTGAATTTTTATATTTTGGGAGTGCGAGAAGAAAAAACGGGATGGTCCAAAGAAAATGTATTGAGTGGTTTTACGACTCCATTGGGGTCCATGACCGTGTTATCTAATGACTTTTTCTTCCTTGCACTTCTCCTTCTATATTACTCTTACTCCCCATCTTTATTCCTTGAAATCAGTTTTTATCTGACCAATATAATGATAGATTGTAAAGAGATTTAGTATTTATCTAAATTTAAATAAATTTCTAAGATATGAAGTGTTTCAAACTAATAAAAATGATTAATACTGTTATTGTTTTATTTCAAATTTACTTTCTAAACATTCTGAGATGAATTGTTTTTTATATAAAATATAATTATTTCATTTAATGTTTTTTAGTTGATAACAGAGCCAATTTGATTAAACCAATTACAAAAGCAATTAATTATACTCATGACAAAGTATTTCTATGCTCAAAATTTTATTAAAAGAGATAGGTATATCAATGAACGAAACACTCAAGTGAATAGTAACTCGTACTAACTAACTACTATTTTGTGTATTTTAATTTATAAACACTTCAATATTTAAAATACTTAAAACGATAAGTAATTTGAAACATGGCAGGTCATGAACAATATCTTGTCAAAACTATTTTCCTAGTTTTATTTGTATCTCATAACAATCGTCCGTCATCTGTATTTTATAAAAACCTTAAAATATACCATTAACATGTTTTAACATAATATATATATATATATATATATATATATATATATACGGGTTTGTTAACTTGCGCTCATTTTTAGTTGATACATTTTAGCAATGGTGTATTAGATTTTAGTAGACAAAAATACCTTCATATATTATGGATTCTAAGTTTTAAGAAGAGTATTTGAATAATTTTCATTCTCAAAACTAAAAAAACAAGAAACCCGTGAACTCTTACTCATCTCCATCATTCCTCTCAACCATTTATCTTTCATTTCTATCACACCCTAACATTTTCTCTACGGTAGTCCCAACTGAAAAAAATCAGAAACACTGTTAAACAATTTTTTATAAAAAATGATTATATAATGAGTTTTCATT